TATGTGCATTTAAGCTGTGCCCATACAGCATCCACATATTCGGGCATTGTTTGAGAAATTCCATCAATGAGCCAAGTGTTTTAGCTATATGCTGCCAAAGAATTCAGGCATTTTAAAACATGCACGTTGTTTCCTCCACCAAAGGAGGACATCTGAAGGATTGAGCTCTGGTAAAGCAAAAGGAAATAGTAGGTGCACAAATACTCTGCCAGCTGAGCATCTGCCCTGGCATGTCCTAGTGAGCTGTGAAGGCTTGGAGTGTAGGCTTTGGGATAAACTATAGGCCCACTAGCTGAGGACCAGTCATGCTAAGTCTGGACAATTTCATCTCTATATTGGTCACAGGGTAACGAATTTTTTAACCACAGTATTATTGCAAGACCACCTACTATGTTATGGAGAGGTTATATTGATAGAAAAAACTGATGAAATTGCTGAGAAATTGACAGATCCTTGAACTTTTGAAGTAACTACATATGACTTACCTGAAATCATCTTGTGTGTAATATATGCACATATAAACATGAAATTTAATATATATGCATGTATTATACACAAAGCGATTTCCAGGTAAATCATATGTAGTCACTTCAATAGTTCAAAAAGACATATTGATGTTATTTACATATATGTATATACTGATTGATGATATAGATTATATCGTATATGTGTGTATATACTTGAGAGAGAGAGAATTATACTTACTTATCTGTGAGTTCTTCCTCTCCAATACAATATAAGCTCCTTGAAAGCAAGTACTATTTTATCTGTGTTTGTATTCTCAGTACCTAGACCAGTATCTTGTCCATAGGGCAATTTTACTGAATACTAGTAGAATCAATCAATAAACCATCAGCACTTTCTATGTGCTAGGCATTGTGCAAAGCCCAGGAAATACAAAGGCAAAAACATGAAAATAGATCTTGCCCTTAAGATGGGTGGGTGGATGGATGTTGAATTGTTCACTTTTTCTATGCACATTTGGCAATTTGTAGACTCAGAAAGAGATTTGTGATAAAGACTTTAATAAGATTTTGATAAAAGAAAAAAATGCTCATTTTAAGCCTTTCTTCCTTCAATTTCCTTTCTATGTTGGTGAAGAGGGACAAGTGAAAGAATATAGTTGGTAAGAGTTTTTAATTGATTTCTGTTGCCTCCTTATTTCTTTTCATTTTTCAATTAGTTGCCATGAATGTGTCTGTTTTCTGAGCAAAACCTTTTTTTCAACAAAACACTATCTCAAATGTTTTTTTTCCTAGAGACCATATATTAAAAATTTCTTAATGAGGAAAAATCTTAGGTAAAAATTAAAACATTATGAATATTTATACTAGAGCTAAAACCCAAATATTTCAAATAAGAAAGTTTTATAAAAGGAAATCTTAAGTTTTATCAAATAAAACCATCCTGTTAAGAACAATAAATTTTAAAAGTTCGAATGAAACCAATTTCACTTTAGGCAGCGTAGTATCTATACTAAGTGATCTAGTCACCCCAAATAAACTGAAAATAAAAGTCAAAATGTTTTGAAACTGGTAGCAAGGGACTTTCTCAAGAGATCAATTGCTATCAATGACTAGTCTTAGAACTGCACTTGTTAGGGGAAGCTGTGACCTTTAGCCTCTCCAGGTAATTCAGTTCAATATCTTTTTTTAAAGAACCTATTTGGAATAGACATTCCCATGAAAATAAATGAAAGCTAGGAGCCTCTCCCTCCTAGAAGTAGTGGATACAGATAACCCAAGTGATACCTCCTGAAATTATTTTTTTCCTTCTACTTATGTTGTAACCAATATCCTTTTGCTTAACTGGACAGATAATCTGGTACTTTTAAAATTCCTAGGCATTGTCTGCACTGGCTAGGAAACCCAACACCCATGCAAAGACTTCAGGAAGTCTTAAGAAGGAACCAAGTATGTTTTGTAAACAGACAGCCCGCATTAGATAGTCTGCAGATACACATAAGCTGTGGTTTGCTGTGTTTGCAAATGGCCCTCAGGATTTGGGCCAGGGTTTTTACGTGAGCCCAATTTAGACCACATTGTCTTTGGTCTGTCAGTAATCACAGCATTACCTTCCTTCACAAAGAGATAAGCCTTATAAAAATAGCACTTTATCTTCCCATGCCCACAAAAGAATAATGCTATCCCATTTTGAAAGGTAAAATAGCATACATTGGGGTTAGAAATAGAGATATCCTGATGGACAAGGCCTAAAATAGCTGGTAATGTTGGGCAGCTCCCAAGCTTAGGATTATTTACATAGTCTTAAAATACTCTATGGAATACTTAGTACAGTTTTCATATGACAGTCATGATCCAAAAGAATCTTTTTTTTTCTAGAAGGACTTTCAAAGAGTATGAACATAGAGTAGCTAATATACTTAACAAGTCTCTGAAATCCTTGGCAAACCTGAAATCTATAAGTTGGCCTTGGTGATAATCACATCTCCATGCTCCATCAAAAATAATAGTAATAATAATAGTAATAAAGACAGACAATTGATTTTTGGGCTTACTTCTCTGTATTTTAATCCCATCTGAACTTGGGAGAAATTGCATCATAATAGAATGGAAAACAACACCAAAAAGGAATTGAGCATGCTATACTGGTATAAAGATGGCATTTGGAGTAAGTGGACTTAGGTACAAATCCCACCTTACTTACTACCTGTGTAACCATGAGCAACTTACTTAACCTCTCTAGCTTCAATTTCTTCATCCCCAAAATGATGGGGTTGGGCAAGGTGTTCTTTCCAGCTTTCAATCTATGAAATTTCACCTGTTGTGAAGTCCACACTATTAATATAAGTATCATTACATTAGAAAAAGGCAATATGTGTGTGTGTGTGTGTGTGTGTGTGTGAGTATGTGTGTTAACCTACTTAGCAACCAAAAGAGATTGTACTGTGCTAAATGTAATTCAATGATACAGACAAAGATGAAATTTACCCTTGTGGGATAACAAGCTGTTAACCTCATGCACCAACCCAAAGTTGTGCCTTTCCCTATAAAATTACAATCAGATGTGTAAAACAAAAGACAGTGAGGTATCTATGCTTAGGCTATGAAATAGGTAAGAAAGGTTAATAAAATGAATTCTAGAAAGAGGAAAAGAAAGGGATAGCATTTCAAGCATCACGGGCTTTTTGCAAGCAGAAAAAAAAATCTGAATTAGGTCATTAAAATCTGACTGCAACTTTTCCTTCAGCCAGAACAAAGCCTTCAGCCAGAACATTGACTCTATCCCCTGAAGTATTTCATCATTGCTCCCTTACTGATTTCTCAATGAATGCTAGATAGAGTGTGGTGAAATTATATAGCAGTCATTATAATATGCAATGAGCTGCTTGATGCACCCAACACAGGTCTATTCATAGCAAAGTTTCTCTGTCTGATCAATATGAGAGCACCTTGGTGGGGCTATAGGAGGCACCCTTATCTTGATGTAAGTCTGGCAGGATTCAGTCAAATGGGCTGCTTGGAATTGCTATGTTGGTTTGGGGACAAAGTACAGACAAATCAGGAAGTACTGGTATGGGTTAAATAAAATGCATGCACCAGTTTTGCAGTCCTGTACTCTGAAAGTTCGGGAGAATAAAACTAACTAAAGACTTTTAGGGAAAATGGCTTGCCAGGAGCTATGCGTCACAATTCCAAACCTGCCATTGATTTATTTCTTGTGTATGCTTGGTCATGCTGTAATGAAAAGCTTATATTTCCTTTTGTTTAAATGAATACTACTAGTAGAGGCCACCATTTAAATCCTGACTGGCACTTATCAGCTGTGTGACCACGGGCAATTCACTTACCCTTTCTATGCCTCAGTTTCTTCATCAGTGAAATGGGGATAATAAACCTGACTTACCTAGCACACAGAGTTGTTGTGAAGAAAATATTTTGAAACTTTAAAGGATTATAGAAATATGAGTTAAAGAAATTATATCTCAGAGGGTTTAAAGAAATTTGATTAATATCTGTTAAGCAGTCATTCTTATTAGCTACTGTAAAGCTCTTACCACATAGTAGGCCATCAGGAACTACTAGTCAATCAGTATCATGATGATTATTAGGAATGAAATGATACTCTGAAGGAATATGGACAAAGTACCAGTCAAGATATTTAACTAACATCTATACCGTGGCAATCTTATTCTGTTTGTATCAGTTTTCTCCAGCACTGAAAAAGTGGAAACAGACTTTCTCTGTGAGCTTGGGTTTGAACTTTTTCCTTGTGATTTTCAAAAGTTTCCAAGCAAATTTGAAACCTAAGATTCTCCCTCTTCATTTATAAATGCCATCCCATGTCTACATATACCAAAAGAAGTTTGGTGATGGTTGTGTGTATGTGTTTGTCCAAAGACAGAGGCAAAGGAAAGAAGGTTAGAGAGATGGAATTCAACCTTTCTTTATTTTTCACTATGTTGTGTCAAATAAGCATTTTGATTTTTTAAATGTTTTTTTTTAAAATTTCATTTTTAATTTGCTGATGAGTTGTTTTGGCATTGCATAGACACAGCAACAAACAGCCCAGAGCAGCCTTTTTCAAAGTCTTCAAAGCAGTTCCCACCTCCAACTGGGAGACCCCTAGGGGTCCACAAGGTCAAAACTATTTTCATAATAATACTAAAATGCTCTCATTGTAGCTAATGAAATAAATATCAATAGACATAACTTAGATAAACAAAAGTTCTTGGGGGTGGGGGAGGGGAGGGAGAATCCTTAATAATTTTTAAGAGCGTAAAAGAGTCCTGAGAACAAAAACTTTGAAAACTTCTGGTCTAGAGCAATCAATCGACAAACAATTCTTAAGCATCCATTATACGTCAGGTAATTTGGATATCTTGGATGCAAAAATGAAAATGAAATAGCCCCTGATCTTAGAAAACATATACTCTATCAGGAGAAACAACCTATGTGTATATACACACAAATACGCATGCATATATACAACCTTGTATATATGTTTGTGTGTTTACAAGATATCTACAAAAGAAATACCTGATAATTTGGAGGCCAGATACTAGCAGCTGGAAGAAGCGGGAAATTCCGTTGAGCTTTTCCTGAGTCTCAAAGGTATTTGAGCCAAGCTCTGAATGAACTAAGGATTCTAGGAAGCCGAGGTGTCTGCCAGCTTCTTTATTTGCCTTAGTGATAACGTGATATTTCAAAAGGAGGAGGAAACAGCAACTCAAGATATCTAATTTTTTTTTCAACTGACTTGATATGCCATTTTCTTGGGTGGGTGGGGGAACTTACTTTAACTTTTAGGGGAAAAAAATCAATTATATTTTGGAACAAATTTGCATGTGTATAATTTGAGTGTCCTTTGTAGGATGCATGTTTTATAAAATGGCTATACCCTGTCCAAAATAGTTAAACTGCACACACACACACACACACACACACACACAGAGTGATAGGGTAAATCAAAACACTTGAAAAGATAATTTAACACACAAAAAAGAAATCCTTTTACTTGAAATATTTCAAATGGCTTTTTAATGACCCTGAATTGTCTGCTTCTTTTCCATATTTAAATTTGCAAAGGTAGTCACAACGTGAGAAAGCAATGGATGCTAGTGTGTGAGTTCATATCCATGTAATGTAGAAAAATACCTTATTTTCTACAAACTATAATTATAAGCTATGTCAGAAATATAGATCATAAGCTGCAAAACATTCCCTATATCCCATATCAGTGTTATTAAAATTCTTTTATTTTCACCCTATTAGTAAAATTTGGGGTGCATGTACCCTAATATATTTATATTTACTTTTAGAATAATAAAAATTATTATTGTAAACATATAAATATGCACATACTATTATAATAATTATGTACAACATAAAACACAAAAAAATAAAAATGACAAAAAAGGATGGGAAAAGGATGAAATAACACATGATCCTGGGATCAGCAGGGATCCACCAGAGTTGACTGAGTAGGGAAGTGACATGGTCAGACCTGCACTTCATAAAAATCACAGTGGGAGCTGTACGGAGAATAGGTTGGAGAGAGCAAAGACTTGAGGAAAGACTACGGGGCTGTTCCAATAGTCTAGGAGATAGGTGATAAGATTCTGAACTAGGGTGGTGGTTCTATGAATAGAAAGAAGACAGATGCAAGAGGTATTACGGAGAGAGAAATTACAAGAATTGGCGATTGACAGTATGTGTGGGGTGAGGGAGAAGAAGGTGGTGAAAATAATACTGAAGTTGAGAACTATGGTGACTACAAAGATAAGGGCCCCCCTCTCTAGTAACACAGAAGTTTGGGAAAGGGATATGTTTTCAGGAAAAGATAATGTAAAGAGTTCTGCTATATACATTATAACTTACTTTTGCATGCTCATTCTGTGTATTTCACTTTGTCCCACCCATAATTAAAAGTAGAGGGGGAAGGTCTTTTATCAGTCTCTGTGTTGAAGGTCAAAGCCTGCCCACTTTAAAGCTATGAAGTGATCCAGAGGAAATGCTCAGGCAAAAGAATTTTCCCAAAATGTTTCTGCACAACTGCCGTTGCGGATTCTTGGAGAGTAAGTTAGAATTACACTCAGAGACTTGCACTTAGCTCAGAAGGAGGAATATATGGTGTTGTCTTAGTAAAGGATAATGGGCAGATTGCAGAAGTTTAGGGGATGAATGGATGTGGTTGTGTCAGATATGTGCTTATAATTCTATCTCCAGCAAGTTCAAATGTGACCCTCTCCCACTGGTTGATCACATCACGGCTCTCACTCTGGTTTCCACTGTTCTATATCATGGCATAATTTTCTAGATAGATAATGCTCTTATTTTAATATGTAATTATGGGAGTGGATAGACAGCTGGCCTCAGGTTCAAGAAGAACACACCCCCATACACATATTCTCGCTATGTGATCCTGGTTAAGTCCCTTAACCTCCTAGTGTCCTAGAAAATTCTCTGAGACTGTATGTTATGTAAGAAGTACTGGTGTGCATTGTTAAAGAGAATTTCCCCACTGAGAATTCCCAATAGAATTATAGGTGGGGTCTAAAAAAATAAAAATAAAAAACAAAAGCCTATGCCTAGGGAACAGCAGCTCTAACAATTTGCTCCAGGGAAAACACTGCCAACGAATCAAGGTGTGGACAAGGCTTACTACTCATTTAGGAAGAGGTACCCTCAAAACAACATTCAGTCATAGCTGGAAAAGATTTCGCTATGAGGTCTACTTATACTGGCATTTAGCCAACACATTGTCAGATGTCCAGGCAACAAGCAATAATATGCAATATAGTCTCAGATACATTGCTACATCCATTCTAACGAGCAATAGCTATGGATTTGTGTCTAAGGTAAGGGAGAGATAGATTGGAGGGTGAGGGCCTGAGCACAGAAGGGCAAGGGGCCCAAGTTTTAGCCACTGGATAGAGGAAATGTACCCTGAGACAGTGCTACTTATTCCCTCTAAATTCCTCTGTCCTAGTGTAAAGCTGTAGTAGCGTTTCATATATTTCTAAGCCCCTGGTCTTTTAACAGTGTATATGGTGCTATGAATGAGGTACGATTAATATTACAAATAACAACTAACATTTATACAACACTTGTTTCTCTCATTATAATGTGAGCTCTTTAAATGCAAGAACCAGTATTTCTGCCTTTCTTTGCAACCGTCAGAGCTTCACACAGTGCCTGGAACACAATAAGTGTTGAATAATAATTTGTTGACTTGACTTTAAGTTGAAGAAACTGCTTGACAAACACTTTCTCATCTAATTCTCACAACAACCCTGTGGGATAGGTGCTTTTACCATCCTCCTTTTTCAGAAACATGCTGAGGGAGGTTTAATGACTTGGATGCTGTCACACAGATTGCAAGCATGTGTGGTCGAATTTGAACTCAGGTCTTCCATTGTCTATGTTTAGCACTCTATCCACTATATCACCTAACTGCCATCTATAAAGTACCTTAAGGTTCCCATAGTAACTTCATCACAACCCAATTGTGGGGTAGGTAATAAAAATTTTAACATACCCATTTGGCAGAGCACAAAACTGAGACTTAGAGGATGAGACATGTGTCTCTGGCTACATAACTAGGAAATAAAGTAACTAGAATTTGAACCCAGGTCTCCTGACTAGAAGTCTAGCTCTTTTTCCACTAAGCACTGCTGTCTGAAGTATGACAACAGCAGGACATACTGAGGCAAAGGTGGATAGGCTCAGTGATCAGGAAAGTTGGGAGCCTTCCCAAAAACTCTTGAGGCAAACATTTCAAATAGAACTTACAGAAGTAATTGGCATAGTAAGCCTGGATATGCAAGATAGGGAATTTATTTATTTTCTTTGATAACACTAAAAATGTTTTAGGTCATCTTAAAATTATGAGTTTTTTTCCAGAAAGGATAAATACAGCTCCTTCAATTTTTGCTGCAGCTTATACTCTTGAGAATTGTGATACTCTTTGTTAAACTGAGTTGCACCCCTTTGAAGGCAACATGCCAAAAAAAAGCTTTTTTTATTTGTTTTTGAGTTTTGGGGTTTTTTTTTACATTTTAGTTACAATAGCTGTAAGGGTGGCCAAGCTGATAAGAAAGGAAAAAAGAAAAAAAATCACTAAAAGAAAAATCCTTGAGCCAGATAGGAAAATAGCCCAAAGGGGAATTCTAGTCCTAGTGAATATTAAAAACTCTGTGGAATTAAAGCTTTGTAACTAAAAGTTTTTTCTACAATGTTTTGAATAGAGGCATAATTCTGGATTTTTTTTTTATTATTCTTTAAACAAAACTACCAGTTTAGCCTTCTCTCTGAGTAAGACAGAGGAAGTCTTCCTACCTGTGAGACTATTTGATCTCCCTTGCCCAATTTATTCTCTCCACAAGTGGGATCTCAAGTAGAGAAAGTATTGAATTTGCTATCAGAAGACCTAAGTTCAAATCCTGACTCTTCCATTTACTCCTTATAAGATTTTGGACAAGTCACATAAGCTTTCTGGATATCAGCTTTCTCAACAAAACTGAGGGTTTTGAACGAGATGATATCTAAGTTTTCTTCCAACTTGAAACCTATTAAATCTATGGAGTAGCACCTGTCATGAATCACTGCCAATCCCCGGTAACTTGAACTATGAAGTATCTGGCACCAGATCTCCCTGGCCTCACACAGATCCTCACAGACAAATATTGACCTGTAAAAGAACCTCTCCTCCTTTGACATATGAAAGATGAGATTCATCTTCCCTGGATCAGAGCCCAAGATGGTGAGTCATAGGAAGCACACAAACTCACAATGCAGAAGAGGGGCTGGCCACAAAACATTAGGAGGGAGGGTCCAGCTTCCTATTTTAAAAGAACCAAACATGAGATCTGTAACACTTTATCACTCAGGAATACAGTTCTGCATGTGACTCTCCAGTAGTTTGAAAAGTGGCCAGATTCTAGAACCAGCACAGAAGGGTGTTTTAAGTTCAGTTTTAAAGCTGATTAAACACTGTTGGCAAGATCTAGAAAAATGTCTGGTACATCGTGGGTGCTTAATTAATGTTTTTTCAATGAACGAACAAATGAATGAATGAAAGGTCATTATTGAAGCATTGCCACAGACGTGGGTCATGGACCCAGGATGTTTACAATTACTCCTTTAGTTATTCAGAAACTAGCAACAGCTGTGACAGCCCTGTTTCCCTGAAGCTAAATTTTCTTAGACCCCACAGCATAGTACATGAAAAGAAGCACTGGTCATCTTTTCCTAGCATGATTGCCTCCCTTTTCCTAAAGTATGGGTATATTTTTTCTCCATATACTGCTTTTAGGACAAAAGCATTCTGATCTTCACCCAAGTTAATCAAACCTCACATTTACAAAATAACTGAAGGATCTCTTCTTATCTCCAGAAAGTGGGTGGAACAAGGAAATTGGACCTTACACTCTAAGTAAGACTTTTTTTTAATTGTTTTTTAATGTGCAAAAGGCAGTTTCTGTGAACAGAAAGTTGGCTGAAAACTCCAAGGCTTAAAAAATAAGTGTTTTAACAACAGCAACAAAAATTAAGCATCAGTAAATACCAAACTTCAAAAGTGGAACAATTGCTGTGTATTTGATAAGTTACATAAGGAAGCATGGAGAAGAAAAGAGACGCTCCCTACAAAAAGTTAGTTTGAGCCCAGAGACCAGTAGAGAAGTGATG